TCCTCACCGCTATAATTGTTGCATTAGTTTGTGCCACTGTCGGTGCAGTTGTCGCAACTGGAATGTCTGCAGCCAACTCTATTACTGTCCAAAAGCTGGATATGGAAATCTATGCGCTAAAGCAACACATTAACGATATTCATCAGGTGATACAACAGCAAAGAACACTTCTCCAAGACGTGTTAACTATTGTGGAAGACACAGTTGTTACAACAAATTTGCATCCAGAGTTAAATTACCAAATCCACTGAGTTGCACCAAAGTCATGACTTATTTAAGCGTGAACTTCTATTTCTGCATGACCCAATATTGTTCCACACACTTGCTTTTCTTGACGAAGTGCAAACTGGAATGATCGAATTGGCAGGGGGACGCATACCTCTGTATTTTGTATCCAAGGATATTGTTCATGCTATGCTTGCCAATGTGGATGGAGAGACAATTGAGCCTATGCAATTAAATCTGGCCTTTGAGATGGGGAGCGCTATACCTCTCTTAATTGATCCGGAACGTATGGAGATTTGCTTTTTATTGACCATGCCATATGTAATTCTCAAAGACATTTTTCAAATGAAAATAATGTACTATGTAATAATGATATTATGGTTGATTGTACTAAGTGTAAAGTTCAAAACTCTTACAGGTACAAATATATACAAAAATGTTCATTCCACACACGGGCCTATGTTAGAAATGATGTGATTGCACAATATGTCTGGTAACTTCTATAGTGCTTATTCATAAGCTAAATTAATTTTGGCTATGAAATGCACTAAAGGGGGGTTATGTCAGGGTATTTATATCGGCAGACATCTTGTGCTATGATAGAAACTAAAAGTGTATATTCTGAGTCACTCTGAACAGACCAGACTCCATTTTGTTATTTCAAGTTAACAGAAAGACACTATATTTCTATCTGTAAGCTAACCACTTTCCCAGAGCTGAGGAATGCATAGTATATACAAGCCAAGTGATAAGAAGAATATAATCAAATCTAAACCCAGACAATTGTGACAGAGAAGATTAAATAATTTAATTTTACTGTCTATACATATAAGGTACCATTGTATGGAAAAGGGTAAACTTAGTTCATGATCTGTCATATCAGAAATTATAGCAGATTTGCAGACACATAGTCTGGACAAAATTTAAGAAACCCTTTGATCTTTGAAGGATACGTAAGTTATAGCCACTATCTAGATAGGCCAAAATGACGTCAAAATAGCCACCAGGAAAAGTTAACTCTTTCCTGGATAGGTATGTTTAGTGGGACAAGACTTCCCTCTACAGACCAAATAACTAATTTGCGATCTAGAAGATAACCACACCTCTAGTGCTTCTATTGGGTTATCAACTGATGACGTACAGAGAGTCTGGCCCTTTAAAAGTTAGGACAAAGGGAAGATAGAGGATACAAGAAATACAAAAAAAGACGAGAGAGGAGGCAGATGCAAGAGATGCAAAGGAGAGGAGAGAGGAATTGGAAGTTTGGGGACTCCAACTCGGACAACATCTGAGAATAATACTCTACTCCTAAAACTCTAACACTTAGAATTTACTGACTTTCTAACCAACACCTCCATGCAGAGAGACTACCAATCTGATGAAATATCTACTCAACTGGTAATTATACTGGTTTCATTTAATTAAATTAAATTAATTAAAATGTATTAATAGCATTATATATGACTGGATAAAGCACGGTCAGATTTCCATATTAAGAAATCTTAGTTAACTAAGAATATATAGTTATAAACATTCCATTCTGCAGGTGGAATTAAGAATAATTATATATTGATGTGATATTATCACGTGTTAGCATACCGCTGTTTTTATCCAGGTGTATTGATTTGCTCTAAATTAAGATAGATATCTTTTAGACAAATTAAAAATCTGCTTATATAATGTGGTAAATTCTCTTATGGATGGTTTAAGAAAATGAATTTAAACTGGCTTAAATGTTATTTTATTTAAAATTACATAAGAATAGATCTTAACTACCTAGGAGATCTAGCCAGCATTGAAAGGGTTATTCTAACTGTCTGCTAAACTTTACGACCTTATGCTGCACTCTGAGGAATTCTGTTCTTCCCTGTGAAAAGTTTCACTTTCAGCCTGTGTTAAAGATAGTCATAAATAATTCTTGACAGATAATGCTATTTAGCCATTGAAACGTAATACCCATTCCTTTGTATTGCATACCATTTTATACTGAATATTCATTGATTATTGTCATGCATGTTACATATATTATTATTAATTATTGGTTATCATAAATAAAAATCTATTTTTATATAAACTGTGAATATTATTTATATGGTATACATTTCACTTAACACGATAAACGTTCTTTGGGATCTGAGAATTGAATTAGTGGGCAATTCTCACTGTTACTATTATTATCCCATAAATATCCCACATATTGGAGGCACGCTGCTGAGATCGTTTAAGTTGAAATTGTATTTCATATATAATAATAATATTGGTGTAATTCATGCAATTTAATCTTAATATAGAAAAGAGTTTTGTATTGAGATTAATCAATAAAATAAAAATAAAAATGGCCAGTGGCAGTGATAAATCTGTAACAGATAATACTGAAATAATTGAAGACCTAAGAAAACATGCTCTAGTTCATATTCATAAACATATGAAAAATGATGCAACCTATGAGGTTTGGTTGAAAAGCATAGAATGGGAAGCTAAACAAACCATTCTAACTGATGAACACATCATCATATATCTTAAAGAAATTGCTGAACAAAAGAACATAGAAAGGAAAATGGCGTACATAATACACTCTTGGCCTTTCTTTATGACAGCACTTCTTAAGGTGTGTGATGAAAACAAGTCACTGAATGCCAAATTGGACACGTACAGTGACGATCTGGGCATTCAAAATGGGAAATACCAAGATTTACTTGCTGAGCATAAAACTCGTCAGGCTGATCATGAAAAAGAAATGAAAGCTTTGACGGATAAATATGCACAGGAAATAAATCAGCTTAAAATGCAATTGGATGAGTATGAAAAGGAGAGTCAGAAATTAGACAGTGAGGTTGGTAGTCATCATTCTGTGCCAAAAAGTTGCACAAAAATGCAAGAAAAGACTATTTGTAAATCCCCTCCTTATTATGATTTTCCCACACCAAACCAGGTTTTCATAAAACAGTCTGTAAGTAAAGGTGTGAGTAATTCTAAAAAAACACCTGTAGATTCTTGGCAATCTTGGG